AATAAAAATCGTAGACCCAAATTTTGTGACACAGTGAATCAGAAAGCTTGCCAAGTAAATTTGTCTTTTATAATTATAAATGGAAATAAAATAATCCGCTTAAAATCATTTTCCACATATTTAAGTCAAGAGAATCTTCAGCATTTGTATTGGAATTGTCATAATAATCCATAAATCAGACTTAAACTCTGCCTTGCCACATTGGGGTTTCTGTGTTCACACAAGTTTTGAAACTCTTAAAAGCTTTGTGTAAAAAAAATTTCTGTCCTCTATGCAGAGACAATTACTGAATATAATTCCTTACTGCTAAGCATTAAGGCTTATGATGATTCCTCGCATGGCTGCCTAATCCTAAAATCCAGCACTTGTCATTATAAATGGTACAATCATCATTGCAGCTTTGTCTATAAACTAGATTTATTAATGTGAAATCCAAATCATACCAAACGCTTTCTAAAATCATCGTATTTCCATCTTATCGTGCTACTGACTCTTCTTGGCCGATAATATTTCACACCTAAATCGACACTGACTCACACCTAGTGGGAAACTCAAAAGGAAGTTAAAACTGATTATCTGTTCAAATCAATCAACAGTCAGATTTCTTTAAACTAAATCAATCTGCACTCACGGTTTGCCATTGCTTAGTATCCTAGTCCATCAAACCTTGAAATCTTGCAAAGAGCTTAGCCAAAACATATCACAGAGCAGTCGTTGAACTTGGTAGCAGTCTTGCTATTTTTTGGCACTACTTACTAACCTAATATAAGATTAGTCAAAACGATGTTTTTTATATATAGAATTTGAATATAAAATCTTCTGAATTAAACGAACTTTGAAAAAATCACCCTGTATATGCCAGAATACATATGTAAATAAATTTTGATGAAGTTATCTATATACTACGGTTTAGGTGACAATATTATTTAACTGCTTGTAAATCATTATCGTGTCAATGATAATGATCATTCTAATGGATGGAAGATCATTCAAATTGATTTAAAGTGATCATATCGTTCTATGACTTCTTTACCGATAATTAATATTTTATTTTCTCTGCTTAAGAGGCTTCACTCTTTTCTTACTCGGGCTGTTTAAATTCACTCCATTGCTTTTGTCATAAATCTTCCTATAAGCAGCGATTATATTTAAATATTTTCAAATAGTTAGCAACATTTTTGAATCCCACACTCTCTTAGCTTAGTAAATAGTTGATAAGCTTCTTTACGTTTTCCTCACTCAATTTAACGGATTTCTTTAGCTAAAGTAGCAGAACCATCTTTAGTCATATTTTCTTTATAAACAGTGTCGATCCACAATGGTAGTGCGGAAAGATTATAGCTCAATTTTTATTTTCGTAGTGTTTTGCTGCTTTTTATTTGTGGAGCTATGCATTTCCCAGTATGTGGACTCAACATTTTGTGCCAAGAATACATCTGAAAGTACGTTGAAAACTTTTTGGTTAGAGACCCATAGTGATTGTCCGAAAGATGCTTTTAAATTATTGAACACATATGATCAGATGCTCGACTCAAAGGAGAGTAAATGCAATCAATTGTTCCGTCATTTGGTACGAAAGTCACTCATCGAAAGCAGCGCGACGATATATGAAGAGGCACTTATAACCCACTCATTCGCTCAAAGTGTGGAGGTGAAACGCCTCTCGAAACACTTGGCACACATTGAGCAGAGTTTAGTTATTGTAGAATCGATTTGGGAGCGCGCGATCAGTGCAGTTTACTTCTTCATAAGTCATGTGGAACTGTTGGAGGCGCTTTCGCAAAATGTGAACTTAGAGTCAAAAGCAATTTCTTTTATCCAACTTCTAAACAAATATCATGCGAATGCTGATTTTGATACATTGTTTCCGATTAAATTGATCTCGCATGTCAATTCTTTCATCGTTCAAGAAAATTTTCAAAACATTCGATCAAAATTGAAAGCGCGTTTTATGCACATTTTTGGCAATTTATACGAACAACTAAAATGGGTACAAAGCGGCAAAAAGTCACATCTGCTCAATATAAAGCATTGGGAATATATGTATGCGCCTCGTGACAATGGGCCGGATAATTTCCGACGCACACCTCTAACGTGGACAAAGGAGAAAAATTCGACAGACAGCGATGGCGTATTTGAGTTGGAAGTCCAAAATCAAGTCGAAGTGGCTTTTGGCAGTTCGTATGATGGCGTCCTGAAGTTCCTAACCATCGATGAGAAATTGAGGCAGCCATTTTTCTGGATAGGTAATGATTCTAAAGAAAGTAAATGGTGGACTGTGTACTGGTACGTTCACTATTTCATCTTCGTGAACTCAGTGACAAAAGATATACTTTGTGCAACAAATGCATATGACGAAAATCGAAGGTATGTGACATTAATGAAGGTTACACAACTCAATGCGCTGAATGAGAGCTCCTTCATACCACAATTTGAATGTCGCTGGATTTTCACAGAACCTCTTTTTGTTTAGTTTTGATTTAGTTTATACTAAAAATGATTGTTGTGAGTCCAGTAACTTAAATAAAGAAATCTTTCATTTTTATAACCATTTGCAAATTAGTGAAATAATATAGAAAGTGTTACGTTATATTGTTTAATGTTCTTAAAAAAAATGGGTTCTTTTTTAGACTTGAATAGAAGTATAAATTCCACCACATAATACCATTCTGGGTCTCATAAGCTGAAACTGTCGAACGAGTTTTGGTAGGGTTGTTGTCGTTATTAAAACTAAAGATATTTTCAAAGTTTCTGAAGACTTTAAGTGAAGGAAGTGGTCTCAACTGTTTTAATGTCCTATAATCATTATTAAATATTAAAGTTTTGATTTTTAATTAAGCAAATCAATGTTAACAATAATTTTATCTACAAATTTTCTTAAGACTAAAATTAAATTTGATTAAATTTTATGCTTTATATAACGTCTACTATCTTCCTTTTCTAAGTATCTATCCCAAGTGTTATGTATGGCGCAAAAGTAGGGACGGAAAAGTAGAGAGTGTTTCGTAAAATCTTTAGTTCGAGTTGGTTACGTAAATGGCATACAGAAACTTTATGAATTCAGTCGCAAATTAACATCCTCCAACTTCGCAGTCTTGGTCACGCAAAAAACATGAATAGTGATCCATTCACCACTGTGGGCGTATAATCTGATCACATGCGATTAGTAAGTGTTAACAAATTGACAGAATTCCTTATCAAACTTAAAAGAATATTTGCTATTTTGTGGCATAGCATCGGCTATAGTGGACTTGGCATGTAAAAAGTTTGTCCTATCTACCACTCATTTTATTAAATATTTTATGTTAAAAATAAACCAAGAAGAAAAAGGTTACTCATAACCACGGTTGCCACTTATGGTACTTTAGTACCAAAATTGGTACTTTTTCTTTTTTTTTTTTTCATTTGGTACTCATGTTGAAAAACTAGTACATTTTTGACGACCCAACTTTATTGTGGATATTTCCAATTAATTTTTTTTATAAATGCAACTTTGCACTATTTTATATTTTGTTCATTTATAACACTATGAAAAACACAGAACGAGAAAACAAAAAGGTCCAAAAAAATTTTGGACCTTTTTTTACAGAAATGGTACCTTTTTAAATCAATTTTGGTACAGAAAAAAATTTTCAAGTGGCAACCGTGCTCATAACCAAATACTTTGTTCATCCTTAACATGAAAAAAAAATGATTTTCTCTGACGGACAGACGGACAATTTCGACTTCTGTTAATAAAGCTTTTACCAACTCCAATTAGAAATATGTATTTTTCCTTATACAAAATGAAGTAGAAGAAAAACCAATAAATATTATAGTAATGTCGCAGACAACTTATAAATAGATGTCCAACGCCATATAAAGTAAATGTCCAGTAAAACTTTCAAAATCTGATCGTTCGAACGTTTTTCAATCTACCACAACGTATCGTCGTTCACGCATATACCACAAATACCATAAATAAAGGAATCCATATATTTAAGTTAAGGAAGAGTGAGAGCGTTAGCTCTACCATACGCAAAATAAGCCATTTAATAAAACCAAAAGCATATGTGCTTATGAACCACATAAGAACTTAATAAGTTTAACTTTGACTAAGAACAATTTTTTTCTAAATTTTTAAAATTATTCCCAATTTTATGTTGATTTTATATATGTTGATCTAGGTATAATTTATCTGCGTAATGCTGTGCATAAGCTTTATCAACTCCTCACTAACTCAACTATAGAATCAACGAAGATTATTTAGAATAATAACATAGATTTCCACTTGGACTGATTTTTTTTTTTCAAAATCGAAATTCTTTTCGTAATCTACAAGTCTTAGCTTCGAAAATATAAAAATAGGTTAAATACTAAACATATATAGTTAAAACTTTACAATAAGTAAACCGTATCACATATAAACTCAATTTAAAATGCTAAAATCGACATACAATTCTATTAAAGTGAATGCCTTCACAAAATTGTTGGAAGACTTTTATAGTAATTTGTTTTCAAACTTATTGAGAATTGTAATTTTTTATGCAGAACGATGTATTCGTTATCAAAAAATCACAATTATCATTTAATTGGAAATCAAATTAATATTAGACATAACATTATAAATTATAACATTATTGTGAAGATATTCACTTTAACAGAAATATTTTTGTTTTTTTTTTCTTTTATAAATGGAATTGATATCCGAATGATATTTTAGTCTTACCTCTTATTTATATATACAGGTATATATTTATAAATATTCAATACACCATATACCTTACTAACTCCCGTATCTGTTTCTGCAAGCAACGCATTTTAGGGTTTGTGTACGTGATAACAATTAAAGCAGCAAACACGAATCTTAGCGCCACCTCTTGTAAATTACACCAACTAGAAAAACAGCTGTTGCTTGTTATTACATACAAGCAACTACACCTCAACTAGATAAGACACTTCGTGATGACAGAAAGTGGCACTGAGCAGTCACAACAATAACAACAACAACAAGGCGCGCTGCGATAAGTAATGTTTTGTTTTGCGTTTTCTTTTAATTTATTGCTGGCGTAATTAGTCTTAAAAAAATTACTGAAGAAAAGGTTGTTGGAATTAAAGATTCATTTCATTATTCGTTAATGCGCAGGAAGACGGGGGTATTGTTTTTAAAAAATAAATAAATGAAATTTCAAAAAGGAAAAAAACGAGCTTAAAAAGTGCAAATGTGAATAATTTAATCGAGCGTTTAATTGATACGCGTTAAGGGAAAAGTAATAAATTAAATTAAAATTAATGTGAAACGCGACTGCGTTACCTTTGAACTGTGAAGAGTGAGAAAAGCCAGCAGGTAAAACCATCCATTGCTACAAGTATGCCAACCAGACTGCTTGGCAGCCATCGTGGGGCGGAGCACAACACAGAAAGTCAAGTGCTGGTAGACAACGAGGAGGTGCAGCCAACAGACGCTTACGATAATGATGACTATGAGCGTAGCAGAGCGGATGCGGGTGGCTTTGTCAATGATAATGACTATAGCATACGCTTTGTGCCAGCCACACTGCCAACGCCAACCCCCTTTCACAATCACGAATTCCATAATGTGGAACTGCAACCGACACATGTGACCAGCATTGATGCACCTCCCGATCGCTTTCATTTTGCCTATATAGTTTTTTATTTACTTGGCGTTGTTACGATGACGCCATGGAATTTTTTCGTCACTGCGGAGGATGTAAGTTGCTTTCACTGATAATATCAACACACAAACACACACACACACACTAATTCACTTTACCAAAATAGATCTTCCTGTAGAGCTACTAAAGCTTGTTAACAGTACCAGGTTATAAAGTTATTATGAATCATTTAATGGTTTAAATCCATTGATAGGGTAGAGAAATTACAGTTAAAGAGTTATAGCCCATAAAAACTTTTATATAAATTATCTCAACAATTCATGTACTACGTTTTTTAATCATTTCATTTTGAAAGCTATAGTGGGATCTGGTATCTAGAGAACCCTAGAATGTAATTCACAATCTCAAATTAAGTCAAGGAACTGAGCAATCAAATCAAGCACTCTGCTCATTTCACAAAATTACTCTATAGTACTCTACAGTGGTATTTACGCTCTCGAGTAACAAGCTCCGGTAACTTGGTACCGAATACCATAGTAAAAATGGAAAATGGTAACAATTGCCATTTATTGATTTTGTTGTTACCACTTTATACTACCATAGCTCTTTAGTCGATACCGTAAATACTACTACAGAAAGAATGTTTTTTTGATATAAACCTTAATTAAGTTTTACACATAGATTATAGAGATTCATAGAAGCGATACAATTGATTTAAAATGCTGGAGAAGAATTAATATCCGCATTGCACTGCTTTAGCATTTTCTAGTATAGAATTAATTATCGGTAAAGTGCCTCTATTTAGTATGTCAAATATCTTTACATCTTTCATATGAATAGTATGAGAAACAACACCATTTAAACCTTATACACTAAAATGTTTCTTGACGACTACCCCTTAAAATTTTACATATGCTATATATGACACTATATGAACAGATACTATCTAAATTAACACTGCGAAAATAAATTCAGTACATCTTTTGCACTTCAATAGAGAGGTTTCGAGCAGGACTTGGAATTGTAACAACAAAATTTTTATTTATTTTTATACTATTTTACTTCAATAACATATTCTGGCATTGATATCAATAAAGTGTCTCAATTTAGCTCGTCATACTCATCTTAAAGTTCTACATACAAAAAGTATAAAAACCCATACCTGTAGATTATAATGCTATGTTGGAGTTGGGCACTCTATAAACCACATACTGTAAAAACTCTCCAGCACTGCTGTGATGAAGGTATACAATATATAGGTAAATCACATACAATGAAAACTTTCCAACTCTATTGTGTTGGAGATGGATACTGTATAAAATCTAACATCCCTCTTGAGTCACCAACTTTTTTAGATCCAAATTTATTGTTACTATTTGAGACAACTTAATCACTTTTGATCATGCACTCCTTTTGACCGGACAGTAAGTGTTCGATTAAGAAAGTTTCCTCTATACATTCTTATGCACAACGGGTACTCAAATCAATTATCCTATAATCCCGGCATTAAAGATGGGGTTTAAGTTGCTGAGGTCTACCAAAATGAATCAAAGAGTTATATATATGCATGTGTCTATTTACTATTAATGCCCCATGATATGTTTGAGTAAAAACAAAAGAAAGGTCGATCCTGCATTTCAGCTGAGAGCATTTCAAATATTTCGTGGCTACGATTTCAGTTGTTTATATATAATATATTATATATATTATCAAGTACATATATATTTTATGTATGTAGTCGTACATGCAGAAGAACGGTTTCCATTTTACACCCAATCTCAGCTTTCTAAAACGAATTAAAAGCATTTTCTGAATAGTCGTGTGGATTCGATTAAAATCTTAAACACAAAATATTTGATTCGTCTTGATTGTCGTTATCTTCTAAGTGTTCTACAATAACTGACTTTATCTACACTAAAGATAAACTAAAGATTATATTTATCGAATTGATCTCTATTTCACTTCTTGTCTACTTAGGCAGATGTATGTTGTTATCATCTAATTCACATATCTTCTAGTATTTAAATGTTTTTTCTTTTTAAATCCGCAAAAAAATCGTGCATTTAAATTGCATCGCTTAAGCCTTCAACTGCAAAACAAAAGCTACAATGACCCATTTGGTTTCCGAATCGTATCAGTTCCTTATCAATTACAAGCCATTCATTGTTTTTCTGACTGACGACTGAGAAGACAAACAAAGAACTCAAAGTCTTTGTTTTTCTAACGATAAGAAGGTAGTATAAAATGCTTAGATAAACTAAAAAGTAAAATATATTAATTTCTGACAAAAGCGGAAAAAAATTAAATTCATACTTTTTCATTTTTCATACTCTTTTGCAAATGAGTTTCCCTACATTCTTCCAAATCGAAGAACGCGTCGGTTAGTCATCTCCTATCACGTTACACTTCCTGTCCTACTGTCGACTTTGTTCTGTAAACTCAATGAGAAGCCAAACGCTTAAGTTTATGTATTTTTTTTTATTTTTGTTTTTAGTTTACGTTTTTCTTATTTATATTTTTAATTTTGTTTTTGTTTTTGTTTTGTTTTGTTTTGTTTTCAAAACCATTTAACAAAAATCTAACGCCGCCCGCATCACCGCTCACATATCACAGCTGTTCGCTTACAGCACCAAAATGCATGGACGTTTTTCTTCATGTTAGTATTACCTTGGGGAACTAGGTCAATTGCACGTATCTCATTGAAGTTAATGACTAATCAAATCATTACTCATATAATGTAATAGCGCACTATTTTTAAGTTTCCATGAATTAGACTTAACTTGGTTTAACAGAATATAAAATCAATTTGTTCAATAAAACTATTACTTCTGTCCTCTGTAATGCGTAAACAATCCACACGCATTTGCATAGTGCCATCTATTGTCCACCAAAATAAACACAAATTGGAAATACTAGTGAAAACGCGGTTTCCAACGCTATGTTGCGAACACAAATACAGTCAGAGCAGACACTCGCCAGTCAAGAAAACTCGGTTTGACTTTAGAATCGCTAATCCGTTCAAGGAAAAGATCACTTAGAAAATCACTTTAGTGTAGATAATGATATGACTTATGTTGTTGTTGTAACCCGCTGGGACCTGTTAGGAGATAACATGAAAGAATATACAAGACTTTACAAGGATATACAAGAATATACAAGGATGGACAAGAGATTGGGAAGTCGTTGAGGGTGATGGAGGAAAATGATGATATGGCTTGTAATGTATTTCAATGAAAAAAAATATTAGGACGAAACAAAGAAATAACACTTTAAAGGCAGTTTCAGCTACTTTTTTGATATATAGTTTATTGGTTTTTAATAGCCTTTCCTAATTAAATGAACTGGCTTCAAGAACGACCAAGTCTATGTCCCGAAGCCACTCTTCGAATTGAATGCTTAAGTGCTACACCTTAGTAGTGCATTCATTTCTGATTATATATGACATTATTATATATATTTTCGAAATGATCCTTTGCACAGAAGATCCTTTGGATATCTTCTGTTCAGGTTCAGTTAAAGACAGTTACTAGCATGAGACATATACTATGCCCAAAATGCTCTGCTTCCGTGGTAGTCCAGAAACCTGTTAATTTCAACTCTGTTTCCATAGTATCGCATAATGCTATTCAACTTTGTGAACTACTAATAAAGTATTTTAAGTGTGATGTCTTCAGTTAGTCTTTAGTCGTAATGTAGCTCGGGTAGTTCATCCGTTCCTAGAAAAGCCTACTAGATTTACTTTCTTTGCAAGTGCTGAAACATCGAAACACCAATGAAGTAAACATATATATATATATATATATATTTTATTTTATGTGGTTTTACACCGTAGAGCTATTTGTCGAAGATACCATTCTACAAGTGACTAATAATCAAACCTACATTCGTCGACAAGGATAAAAATACTGCTTATATATATTATGATATTCTATGACTACTTATAATCTTGATTAGATATTTTTTTTTTAAACTTAACTAAACTGATTGGAATATGGGTATTTTTTTATTTTCTAATATTAACCTCACTATCCATTTCGTGTTTATGTTAACCTTTCCCCATTCTCTTTCTACAGTATTGGATGTATAAATTTCGCAACACCACCATCAACAACACCGCCGATGTTGAAATAGAACTAACACCAATGCAAAAAAGTTTTGAATGTGATCTCACTCTTACTGCATCCATATCGGGCACAACATTTCTAATACTCAACGCCATTTATGGACATAAAGTACCGCTTAAGTTAAAAATGTTGGGTACCTTAGTGATCATTCTTATTATATTCTTTATAACTACGGCATTTGTAGAGATTAATACGGACCGATGGCAGGAGCAATTCTTTCTAATAACAATTTTCACAGTCATAATTATAAATAGTTAGTAAGCAAATGTGGTATATGGTATGTAAAATATATTGATTCATTTTTTCCACTTCCCTTAGTATCATCGGCAACAATGTCAGGTGGTATATTTGGCATCGCAGGTCTCTTTCCATCCGAATATATGACTGCATTGGTTAGTGGACAAGCTTTAGGAGGCATATTCACAGCATTAGCTTTTATAGTGGTCTTGGCGTTTAATGCTGGACCAAATACTACGGCCTTTATATATTTTTCGATTGGTAGTGTTTTGATATCGTTATCGATTATTGCATATGAAGTCATGTCACGGCAATCGTTCTTTAGATTTTATTTAGAAGGCGGCAATAAGCTTAAACCGCTAGACGATACACCGTCTACAAGTCGAACGAACGACTTGGGAATTACACTAGAACCAAATATAAATGAAGTGATGAGTAAAATATACGTCGATGTGGTCAGTATTTGTATTTTATTTACGACGACGCTTTCAGTATATCCATCTGTAACGGTTCTTATGCAGTCGGAAAATTTTGGAAACGGTAACGCTTGGAACGGTAAGTTGAAACAGCTTTATTTGAAGATAATTCTCTTTTTATAAGAGAAAATGTAACATACACTCATTTGTAAAGGGACTTCTAATCACATTCTATATGGTTATTTGGCTTTTCGCTAGGACGAAAATGCTTGATAATTAGGCAGTCCTTAAGCGAAGTGATTTCTATACGGTAAAGACCTACAGCAGCATACAAGATCTATTAAGGTCGAAGTAATATGTTCCACTTAAAACATAAATCTTTATTATATGGTAATTCTAATAAAGCGTATCTGATGTAGAGCATAAATTCAAACTCTTGAATGGCTTAAAGCTACAAAATATGTTTTATCCATATACTATTTCTAACAAAACAAAGTACATATTACATATTAAGTACTAACCATTTACTGATTTTGGTTACTTTTTCTTTTTAGATATTTACTATCTGCCAGTTGTAAATTATCTGTTTTTTAATTCTGGCGACTATTTCGGTCGGATAATAGCCGGACTTTGGGAAAAGGTTTGTTGCTTGTTGTTTTTAAAGCTGTGTAAAAATTTTAAAATTAATAACATTAATCATTTTCTTCCCATTTTAGCCACAAAACTCGCATACGGTACTGCTGATGACCCTACTAAGAATCTTATACGTACCATTTCTACTTTGTTCTAACACTAACCAGCATTACTTTTTGCCAACGCTAGTGCACTCAGATTATTCTTTTATTACCATGATCATAACATTCGCATTGAGCAATGGATATTTGACTAATATTATTCTAATGAGAGCACCACTGTAAGTTCCACATTCCCGACCTTCTCTCTTCCAATTTAATAAATAATATTCATTCTATTATAGTTCCGTTCTACAACATGAAAAAGAAATGGCATCATCCATTATGGTGGCCGCATTAAGTTTTGGTTTAGCTTTAGGCTCTATTTTGTCTATGATATTCGTACAGATGTTATAACAGCGCCAGAAGAAGAGGCGCTAACAAGGAACGAAGATCAAAATCAGATAGAACCCAAAGAGATTAAATGTGCCTGCAATTTACAAAGACTATGCTATGATTTCTATGATAGTTTTTGTGTTTTATGCTTAAGAGTTTTTTATGTTTATTGTAATTTTAAAATTGTGATAACTTTTAATTGTGATTCTAACAGATTTTTATTGTTTTTATCACAAGCAGATTATAACCACAATAAAATTAAGTTAACTTTTACATATAGTATAATATAATATATGACGGACTAGTTGAAATGAAAATGTAGTTTTAAATTGTATTTAAGTTAAATACTTTTAATGCTTGTGTAAGTCACATTCTATAGTCAACATAAATGATTACCTATTCATATATTCCTCTTAGGAATATTTTTGTTCGATATATCATGAAGGAAACATCACACGAAAGGCAAATGGAAAAATCATTGAGACTTTCAAATTTATTGCTCTGCAGTAATTTTATATATATTCAATCTCTTCCATCTGTAGTGGGAAGAGCACAAAAAGAATATATGTGAACAATACAATGATTATCCTAGCTAAAGTGGCATTCGTACTAATCACTACAAAATATTGAAGTAAATAATCAAAAAATAATGATATTGAGGACACGAAATCATTTTATTACTTTATAATCAATAAAGCATGGTAAGTCCATCATTCAGACGCTATAAAGTTGTTGTTGTCGTAGCCCGCAGGGATCTACTTGTATTGTCCCTTTTAGCAGTGTTGAACAGTGCTTGGTCATCAATAGTAGCGTCCCGAGTAGCTCTGGGACGTAGATCCAGTCGTTATTGAAACCTGTCTCTAAAATCATTACCGTCGCTGCCTCGTACAACATGGCACATGCTAAATACTTTTATGTCAGAGCTATGTTTCAAAATATTCAAGGAAATTCATGCCTTTATTCCAAACAACAAATGTAAAATTTTTCTTTTCAATTTACTATGTAACTTTTCAGAAAATATAAGTATTCTATAAGTATTCTATGGCATTGTGGGTTCACGTTTTAAAAAGATCTTACCCTATAGCATAGATATGTTTGATTTTAAGATCTTTCTGGTTTCATAAGTGGTAGGAAAAGTCTCAAAGCAGAAACTGTGTAACAATATGGGAGGTATTATTCTCACTGATTTATAATATTTATTATCTGAAGATTACATAAATATATATACTATTTTATTCATTTGTTAAGAGATTTAACTAAAATTGCTTATCAGTATAAATAAACTGCTCTAAATTTAAATTGTAGATCACATATATGTACAGAGTCCACTTTATCAAAATTAATTACTTTGTATTATATTGACTCTTATCTATAGCTTTTAATTTCAACTTTCTGTTAACAAAATATCATTTTTATCGTAGCTCCAACTAGAGTCCAGTATTAGCCTTCTTCAACAATTCTCTGACTTAATCGCCTTAGCTAGTCAAAAACATAATATATTAAATTTTATAATAATTTAAATTCTAATTTAAATTAAAATCTATTTACACTTCAAGACAACATATTTTGTCCATTTTATACTAACCAATTAAAGAGTGCCCAAAGCATTTTATTTTCACTATATTTAATTCACTGCACTATATATACTAAAGTTTAGACTATATTCTTATAATAAAACTATAGTAATCTCAGAAACATATTTACAATAAAAATTTATAACAGTGACACCTTCTGTTGTAATTTTAATAAAACATGAATGCTCTTGAGAGTGAGGCTTTACCTTCTCTCATAAAACCGCTTTGGTATATACTATCCTGAACACTTTCCACCCATCTTCAACAGAATAATCCTTATTCTGCGTCGCTTAGGACTTGTTCTGTGACATCATCAAATTATGCTCACCAACTTATGTTGCCTATTGAAAAAACCAAACTATTCTTCATACGTACAATGGACCATCTCTTCATTGAAATTACCACTTAAGTCTAACGACTCTAAAATAGTGCCAGTGTCGCTTTTATCTAGCTGCATTATCTAATTGCGATTATCTAACTGCTATTACCTGTTATTATCTAACTGCCTTTATCTAACTGCTTTTATCTAGCTGCTATTATCTAATTGCTATTACCTTACTGTTATTATCTAACTGCTATTATCTGACTTCTTATGTCTTAATGAGTTATTTCAAAAACATCTTTGCTATTTATTTAAATGAATACCTTATGGAAAAAACCTTAAAGTAAATAAATTAATTTAATCGAATTAAATATTTAATTATTTTGTATTTGGTTTTTCAAATTGATTTGCTATTATAATTTTTTTATATTATTACAATAATATTAGATATCATCATCATAATTATTATTTTGAATTATATTTATTTATATTGATATTACACAACACCAAAACATAAATATAAGTTTATTTATAATTTAATAGTCACAATTTATTAAATATTCATAAAAAAACTCAACACACACATATACAAGTATTTAATGTGATATAACAAATATATTTTATGTTAATCCATAATTTTAAATATATTAATTAATTAGTTACTTTAATAATTCTATTGAATTTTCTCTTAACGTGCACTTAAAACTCCATCTAACCGATTTTTAAAAACTTTGCACTTTTCTATATCTCCAAATATTTTTTACCGATTTTCCGATTTATCTCTCTCAAGAACTTTCCATCTATATATTCTCAAACCTTTAAAAATTCGGGAATGTGAACACAAAACAAATCTTTATTTTAATTTTAAAATTTAATTATTAATTTTTCTTTAATTTGAATTATAAATTTATTATTAATTTCCTAATTTTAAATACTTTGATAAGATAAATTTTTGGTAACCTATAGAAACCCATTTCTTAGATATCGTATAGTTTGACCGAATACTTAAATTCAGTTGAGTTTTTTTTTTTTTTTTGTTTTGTTAGTAGAGTATTTTTATTAAATTGATCTATATTTATAATATTCACACATGTGTATATATAAATACTTTATGTTACTAATGTATATTTTTATACAAGAATTATTTGATGAACCAACGGAAGTGGCTTCAAATGACAATAATATTTGAATAAGATTTTTATTTGCATAATTATACAATTTTGCTTATATCTAATAATTTCAATTAACGGCAATTGTTTAATAAAAAATTAAATTTAAAATCTATTAATATGTCAATATCGACCGAATTAGATATTCTATATGTCTGGAATTAGCCCCACAAACCATTTAATATTTTCCTACAACATTTTCATTAGAGAGGACATAAATTTTATAGTTCTATAGTGAATTTGCTTAAAGCAAACATATGGATGAAATGAAGAGCACTCTAAATATGTTGATAAATATGATGAAAAAAAGGCAAAGAAACCTCTAATCTTTGAAAATATATCCATCATTTTATTCCAGTGTTAGAATTATTGTATTGATATATAAGACAAGATTTCTTGAAATGTGAAAATATATAAATGGGTCACATAAATCGGTATGGTTCTGTATAGTATCAAATAGATATATATCCGTAAATATATATACTTTGTAGTGTCAAAATGAACTCTAAATATCAAATTCGAGTTTATTGGTTACTTATTATTCAAGACCTCGAATCATTTTTGTAGAAAAACTTTACATTGTACTAGTAGAAGAGGGTTTCAGTGAATGTAGTGTTAATAATTTAATTATAAAAAGAATACCTGAGCTAACCTAAACATAACAATGAAAAGAAGCCCAGAAAACAAACATATATCTTGCAAATTGTTATTTTTTCAATACCAATAAATTAGTTTCGTCCTAAAAGCCATACATTAACTATTATATAGCACCATTAATTGAATTAGGTACCTCGGTAATTTAAGCATCTTCAATCCAATCTTTATATTGTTAGACAAGCTCTGATGGTATTTTCTTTTCATAGGTACAAACAAGTTCCCTAGGGGTTTATTTCTTTCGCACTACCGTTTTATTTGAATCAAACTGCAGACTTTGTTACCATTACTGTAGCCAGAAACTGGAGTGACTCGGCAAGGAATGAGAGTTGCAGCAATTTTTAAAACTATTTGACTTTTTTATTTTTAGTTTTATTTGAAAATTAATCTGTATAAGAGGGGGTTCCCAGTATACCATTCTCCACAAACGCTGAAGAGAATAGCCCTGAGTACAATTACTCAATACAATTTGTTAAGACCGTTCCACTATATTACACATTTGGTTTTTCGTCTAAATCTTGGTCTACATCTATAAAGCATTATATATTTATATATATATATATATTCTCAAAGAATCGATCTGCAAGACGATTTTTTTGTAAATAAGCACTAATCACTTCATTAAGAGTCGAATGTGTGTCCGGATCAAATGGTGATAATCACTCTGAAGCTTAATACTACATGTGCCTTTCATGTTTATACAGATCTCTGTTGACATATCTTCTATATGTGACACACATATTTTGTACTCATTGAAAAAAATGTCAACTGTATCTTTATAGTGTATAATAATGGTAAATACCTTTACGGACTTAACACATTACATACTCACATTACACATTACATGTGATGTTATCCAAACTCATTAGATCTTAAAGAATATATTATATGTATTGTATAGTAAAATAATTTTAAATTTTAGAAATAATTAAGGTTTTATAATTTGCTAAATTATAAAAATGCATTTAGAGTAAAACACAAAAAAAAATATTCTAGCACTGTGGCTAATAAAATCTTGACAGAAAAGATTCGTTAGAGAAATGTCCAGCTCTACTTACTCCTCTTGCATAAGCCTGATATGGTTTATTTTTTTTATGGGCAGCTTTAAATAAATTTATAAATTTCTCTCTGTTTTGTGTGGGGAACAAATGCCCATCTTAAATCACCATATATATATTTTAGAATAATTTTTATATATAAATTGTTATAAGTAATTTTAAGTTATTCATAACATCAACAACAACACCTAGAGATATATTTATTTCAATTTCAACTAACACCGAGATATTTTACTTTTAAATTCTATAAACAATCAATTATCAATTATCAAGACACATATAGATCTCATGGCATGCAAACACACACACACATACACAATAAACAAACACACTTAAACGCATTCTTCAATATAATTTTGCTAAAATCCCTAAAAGAAAATAGACTTGAAGCATGCATTTTAATTAAAGCAATTACAACATCTAAGGTGGTATGTCCGTCCAAAAAGATATTTTTTAATGTGTCTAAAAGTTCGGTATTCAGGATATCGAAGGATTTAGTTGGGACCATGGGCATAACCAGGCACTGAATTCATTGGTGAGTGAGCAATTACAATACTATCTTATCTTATCTTTTCTGTAATTTTCTTTTTTATTTTTTTTATTCTTCTGTATAGTGTAAATATAGTGTAAACGGGTATAGATATGCCTATACGCCTGTATAATCAAATCCAACGATATATATATGTATATGTTTACTATACTTGAAACACTCTCTTTGATGAGACTACATAGAGACGCATTCTTGGCAATTGTACGAATGAAAAGTTAAATTGATCGTAAAGAAAATCAAGATTTTAATGAAATATGAATGGTATAACAATAGACCAGACCAGCTTAGGAGTTACTGCCATTGATCACTCACAAACAACACGTTGCTGCTGAGTATTCAATAGACCATATGGAAACCATAGACCATAGTTAGTTATAAACTAAAAATTGAGACTTTACGATGATTTGTTAAAAGTTTAAAGATGAAACAAAATGTGAAAGTATAAATATGGTTGTGTAGCTCTAAGAGAATATGTGTTGTTGTTGTTGTAGTAACCCGCTGGGACTTGCTTGTGTAGTGTCTTTGGGGGGTGCTGAACGGAACTTGGTCGTCGAGTAACTCGGGGACGTAGACCCGGCAATGCTTGGAACTAAGAGAATATATAAATTGGCTTAATGCAACTAGCAGAAAATTATGGGTGTACATCTTTGTGTTTTGCAATATCTTCCCACATTCGCACTACCGTTTTATTTGAATCAAACTGAAGAGTTTGTTACCATTACTGTAGCCAGAAACTGGAGTGACTCGGCAAGGAATGAGAGTTGCAGCAATTTTTTAAACTATTTGACACTTTTATAATAAAAACAAAATTTTTGGTAAAACTTTTTACAAAGGGTACACAAAACGGACTGAACATACACCTTTGCCATCGTTAAATCGTATTTAGAAAGGGCCGTATGGCAGGGTCATTGCTGCGTGCATTCCCTTTGGCTACGTCAGTGTTTGCTACTATTAATATGTATTAATAAAATTTAATTAAATGCTCATAAATACTTGAACAAGCATTTAACAAGAGCAAAGAATACATAACACATTATCTTTCATCTAATCTAGATATTTGTATTTTGTGAAGAGTGTTAATAATATTTCAGATACTTTTTGCTAGCATAAAGAAACAATCCGAACTAATTGATTGATGTGAGCTCGGTATTATCAACTGATCAAGAATATTAAACTCTTATAAAATTAAATAATAAATTAAAGATAGTTCATTTTTTGTCATGTTTTTTTCTTGTAATCGATTTATAAACGGATAACTAGTTCTAATTATTGAACGTTTTCGACTAGTTTTGCTCAAAATGGCAAACTAAAACTACTAAAACTACATGTTTTAGAATATATGTCACGTTATCTGAATTACCTATTTTCAATTTTTGAGTTATTTTAGAAATAGAAACTATCTAAGTGTTTAGAATGATGGATTCCACATAAAAGGTTCGATTTCAAGTGATCTTAATGCCTGTATGATCAGACAACGATCAACACCCTCAGTTTATGCGTGTGCTTCAAGCGTGATTGTCAGTCAAAAATGCCAAGAGTTGCTATGCAACAAACTTGCTCACGACAGTTGATATGCCACATATTACGTTTACACTAAGTGCTAAAAGGCTTTGGTAATCGTGGATGTACAAATAAATATAGTTCAAAACAAAAAACAAGTAATTGCACAATTTGATTTTTTTTTTTTTTGTTTGTTTACACATTAAATTTGCTGTTCCTCTTAACAATTAACAGTTAACAGTTTCATAAGTTTCATAGACACATAGATTAATAGATAGATTTAGAATTTAACAAAGCATAATCGAAAACTTAAACAGATAATTAAATAAATAAACAAAATAACACACATACAAATCTATACTAAAATAGGACAGTTGTTCATATTCATATTCATTATGTGCACTTAACAGTAAACAGTAAATAGTAAACAGTAAAGACTACTTTCTAAACGAAAGAAATGATATTCTATTATTCACTTTAAATATCTATAATACTAAATAATATCGATCGCTTTAGCCACCGCTTTACTTATTTTTATACAACATTTTAGCTGCTTAGATACATTCATAGCACAAATACAAAATGGAAACCAAAAAGTTTTACATTATGCGTAAGATAAGATAATAAGATAAGATACAATAATAGATACAATAATAGATACAATAATAGATACAATAATAGACACAATAATATGAATATAAAGAGAAAGGATACAAGTTACAAGATACAAGCGCAAGTTTCTAGAGATTATATCAATTTTATCATATTTTTTAATATAATTTGTTCTAATTGAATAAAATATGCTCTAACATTTATAATAAAAGTAATTTTTGTTATCTTTTGTTTATACGTGTATACGTCTATACGTCTATACGTCAATACGTCAATACGTCAATACGTTTATGTATGTACATAATTATGAGATTCCATTTAATTAAGGACTAGTTTTGTTGCATTCTGTTTTAATAAAGAATGATACACTTTAATTTTAAACAACCATTTCCGTTAAAACGAAATAACACCTAAACAACATTTATCATTTAAAAACATTACTTATATTGTAATTATAAACAAAACGAAAAATTTGTATATTAACAACAAAACAGAAGAAGATAAAATATTAATATTAAAATTTAATAAAAAAAATTTAAAACCAAAAAAAAAAGAAAAAAATAAACCACAATAAATATTAAAAACTATAAAAAAAATTAAAAACATAAAAAATCAAAACAAAAAAAAATAAAATATAATAAAAAAATAAAATAAATTTAAAAAAAGTTGTATGGTCAGCCAAAAATTCAATTAATTAAAATAATATAAAATGAATTTTTGTTCTTGTAGTTCACTACTGTTCGAACAACCTCTTTATAAAAAAAATATATAAAAAAAATATATAAAAAAATATAAAAAAAATATAAACAAAAATAACAAAAAATAAAAAAAAGTAAAAAAAATAATATAACAAATAAAATAAAAAAATAATATAACAAAATAAAATAAAAAAATAATATAACAAAATAAAATAAAAAAATAATATAACAAAATAAAATAAAAAAATAATATAGCAAAATAATATAACAACATAAAATAAAAAAATAATACAAAAAAAATAAAAAACTTTTAAATAATAAAAACATAATTGAAACTAATCAAAAAAAATTAAAAGCAAAAAAGATATTTTTTAAATAAATAAATTCTAAAATAAAAGTAAAACATAAAAAAAACAATTGAAATTAGAAATTTTTTTATCTGAGTTTGAGTAAATCTTCTGCTTATTTTTAATTTGAATTTAAATTTTTTTGTTTGTGAATTTGTTGGTTTCTTATTACACATTTTGTAGAAATCTTTTTTTTTTGTTTTAAAATTAATTTTTTTAATTTTTTACTTTGTAAAGTTTTATAGACAACCACTTGAATTACTTAAATTTCGAATTAAGATTCATCAGATACGAGAAATTAACTTTAGTAACTTTTGTAACTTTTCGCTAACTTAGTGTTTTTAATATTGAAAACTGGAATCTTGAACATTTTCAATTTGAAATACTGTTTTTTTTTATTTTCTATATAAATAGGGAAATTCTAAATAGTCAAAATCCATTGACTTTTATGACTAAGCTGCAGCACCACTACTTATGTTGTTGCTGGAACGAGCTGGTGAGATGGATGCGGTGGTAGCATCGTCAGCACTTAAATTCAGATTGAAATTATTTCCTGTTGCAAGTGTCGAGGAGCAACTACTCGTATTGGTGGTGGCTACATTCATATTACTACTGCAACTGCCTCCGCTACTAATACCCGTTCCGAAGTTGCTGTTAAAGAGCACCAAAAATCCATTACCGAATACACAAGTTCTTGAGTCTGCTTCCTTTTCAAGAATTTGTCGTGCCTAAAAATATATATATTTATATATATACATGCATATATACATATTAACAGAACAAACCTTTGTATTATGTTCGGCTAAGGCATTGCGAACAGTCTCATGTTGTTTTGATAGATCATCCGTACGCTTTTCATAAGTTTGTGTTAGACGCACGCGTTCAGCTACGCCACGTTCCACAACTGAGCTCGCTACTTCTCTTTTCATTCTATGGAAAAACAAATTCATATGAATTTAGAAAAATTTTAAATAAAATAAAAAATACTATACATCTTTAAGATAATATGTTTAAATTAAAAGGTTCCAACGAAAGAATAGCACTAGTTTTCAACAATAAAACTGTAATTGTTAATTCAGTTATGTATAGCGGTGGTTTATGTGTTCGTTTTAATACAGTAGAGAAAATGGATTTGTCACTCAATATTGACAACAAATTAAAAAAACTTCAAATTATAACAACAGAAGTCAACTACGGCGCTGGGTCAGTTGTCCAGAAAAGTGACTCTTCAAACCTTGTTACGTATAATTCAAAATAAAATGCATTACGAAGAATCAAACTCTTGAAACTTTTTAAAGACTATTAAGAGTGCTTTGAGCTTTGAGCTTTGCCCAGAAAACAGACGACATATCCAGCTTACCATATGTTAGATGGAATGACAATGAAAAATGAGATTTGGCATAGAATTTTCAACAAAGAATAGAAAAATTGGCGAGAATTTAGAAAGATTAGTGTATCTGGTAAGAAGGATTGGGAAGGGTTGGGTTGACGTTTTTCTGCTCACTAGATTTTGATTTTGAAATGCAATTTTTTCTTTTTTTTTTCTTCTTTCGTTTATTGTTTTGTTTTATATTAGTTGATTATTGATCAATCTTTAATTGAGATTGCTAATTCGTTTGGATTTCAAAAAGATACTATTGTAGAATTTACCAATAACATTACTAGTACAACACTAAACTTACAAAAATTAAACGATAGCATGTATATATACTCTACATCGACATTTACATTTTATACTCTATATACTCTACATTTAAATAAATAATATAATAATAGATATTATTTCTTACCTAACCAATTCATCACGATCTCTATGCACTGCTGCCAAGTTTTTAACCTCATTACGTCGTGCTTCCTGCAATTGGTGCATCACTTCACTTGTCACCCTGTCTAATGTTGCCTTGAGTTGTTTTATTTGATTGGCCTGTGATGCTTTTAGGATTTTATCGGCTGTAGCATAAATTGTGCTATGATACTTTTCTTGTATTTCACGATATTGACTTGAATAATCCCGGCATGATATGAGGAGACGTTCATACTGTGTACGTGAAGCTGCCGGTGTAACTGCGTCATCTGTGTCGGTTGTTGCTGTTGCTGCTGGTGCTGGTACTGGTGCCTTGTTACCCTCATCGCTATGCGTGCCATGGTCTTGTAAGCATGGTGGTATTTCAATAGTTGGATCGCTAGGAGAAAAGCAATTGCTGTTTGTAATGTTAATTATAAGTAACACCCGATTATTTTGGGGCGTGGATGCATACTTACAGACTTTTATTGCTCAGCCTTTTTACAAGTTTATTGGTTATTGCAAACTTTGGCTTCTTGCTGCCTTCCAGTGGGCTTAATTTTTGTCCAGCGATTTTTACTTTTTCCTTCTCATGTTTCTTTCGTAACGTATCGAGTTTTTTCTCCATCTCGAGCCGTTTTTCACGCACCAATTTATGTTCAAGTATCTTTTCTAGTGGTTCCGCTACAACGGGTTCTACATCAAACTGCGATGATTCCACCTGCCTTATTGAGGTTTGCACCGACTGGTCCAACGAATGCTGATGCTGAATACTATATACAACACCAGAGGCACTATCTGCCATATCCTGATCATTTTGAACTTCGACACTCATTGCCGAAGCTGCTGTAATACTTGTACGGTGTTTAGGACTCATTGTTATTGATTCGATTGGGCGCAGCTCTTTCTTTTGACCACCTACTTGTACAAAAACGACTATGTTGGTTAAGTTTGTAAAGTTAAACAGATGTTTAGAGGGAATTTATTTTTGGAATTTTAAAGTTTTGTTTTCGTCACATTGGGTTTATTTAAACCAGAGTTGGAAGTACGTCGTAAGTTGAAGAATCCAGTATTAAAAAAATCAGGTTTCGTAAAAAGAAATTAATGAAAATTATAAAAAAAATTGTAATAAATTATTGAAATAAATGAATAATTTTAATAAATTTAAATAAATTAACAAATAAATATGTGATATAAACTATTAAAAATAATTAATAGGCGTGACAAGTTGCACTTTTAACTAATAACTAAAAATTTAATGAAACAAATTTATAAAAACTTAGTAATTATATAAAAACAAATTAAATTTTTATTAATTATAAACCCACTTCCACATTATCTGCTTTCACGTTGCCCACTTCCCATTGATTAAATTTTAATGCGAAATTGGCAAACGCTAGTTAATATCATGCATACATAGACCTATTTAATATTTTTAGAATATTTCAATGGTTCGACGAATTCTGTTAGTAAGAACTTTCTTTTCTTTCTTTCATTTCTTTACTCAAAGATAAAACCATCCTTGTAGTCTGACCATTGCTTTAACTTACATGAATTTGTATTGTCTTCTTCGACGGGCACAGGCTCAGTGTCCTCAGTTAGCACAGCTAATTGTTTATCGCGTTTCTCTAGTTCACTTTGATACTTGATGGGATTAGCTAAAGCTTCGGCAAAGTTTGACAAATCATCGGGCACGTAATCTTTTACGACAATACATAAAAACAGCGATGCTAGCGCTATAGGTTGCCCAATCTCTGAACGTAAGCTTAAATGCCGATAACCAGGGCAAAGTCCAATAACTGGCAAGACTCTATGGCCAATAAATTTTCCACTCTCCTCATAAGCAGCAATACGTATACTAGCCAATTCGGGTAATACAACCTTCGGGTAATACAAATATAAACCATTTGGAATCAATTACATTAGTCCAATCGATAGCAAAGAGCGTTACCTTCTTAAACACAAAAGGTTCTTCATCGAATACTGGATTCATACTATTTTCACGTACAATTTTTGTACGAAATTTTTTCCTCACTGTGTCTGCTGGCAAGCCAAACATGTCCACTTCTACATAAGTGCCAACACGTTTATCGGTGAGAAACTGACCAGAGAGTACTGTTATAGAAACAGTGCCCGCAATAATACCATCCACCTAAAATCAAAAAATTATTTTTCAATATTTTTTTATAATTTATATATACATTAAGACCGAAAAGTTTTCGGAAATTCTCATTTCAAATTCGCGCGCTGTATATTTTTCGATATTTTAAGTTTATGTAGTTTGGCAGCAATTAAGGACAATTACTATGCCAAAAATGAGCGCGATCTGTCAGACAGTTCGTTTACGGCAGCTGTTGAAACCAGTTCACCTCAGTAGTGCGTTGCGAAAAAAACAATGGAAAAAAATATTGAACAAAGAGTTTGCATCAAATTTTGTGTTTCGAACGAAATTTCGTGTGCAGAATCGTTGCGAATGCTACAAAAGGCTTATGGGGAATCAGTTTTATCGAAAACTCAAGTTTATGAGTGGTACAAAGCCTTTCAGGACGGTCGTACGACCGTCGAAGACATTTCGCAACGCACTACTGAGGTGAACTGGTTTCAACAGCTGCCGTAAACGAACTGTCTGACAGATCGCGCTCATTTTTGGCATAGTAATTAAGGACAGTGCTGACAAACTACATAAACTTAAAATATCGAAAAATATACAGCGCGCGAATTTTAAATGAGAATTTCCGAAAACTTTTCAGTCTTAATGTAATGTTTATGTAGATACCGTGCTCTCAGCGAATGGATCTAAGCGCCTATCTGTACGTCGCATAAACTCGGGTTTAAGCAGATAACCAGAGCGCCCATTATATTCGAAAATTCCTAAATTCAATTGCATAGCCAAATCAAGAGTTTGGAAGTTTAATGCAACGAGTTGACAACCAGCATTCCAGAAAAGCTAAGATTAGTTACAATAATACATGGGTTATATTGGTGTATATATCAATTAGAAAAAATTTCGAATGGGTAAACTTACTTGTGGCATAAAATTGGAGCTATCAAAACGTGTACCCGCTGGGTAAACACGAGATAACTGATGTTTGTTATAGTTGACAAATTCAATGGGTCGTTCTTTAAGTAAGGTTGTAGCTTGTTTTTCATCGAAGGAGGACATTTCATAACAACGATTTTTCTCTAGAAGAATATAACATTTTTATACAAAATTATACCTATACTAAATAATAGACATATAATAGATTTATTTTTGATTTTGATCTTACTTTCTGCATTTTCAAATGAACTGAAATGTATTGGTTGCACATAATTGACCAGTGCTGATATTTCTGCGCCAGCTTCAGTTTCTTTTTGTGCCTTCTCTGGTGGAGGTTCATTGCCACTTGGAGGATTGGGTGTTGTATTAGGCATGGACTCATCATCGCTAGAACTATCCGTATCAGATGATCCAGTGCTATCTTTTGAACTCTGCCGTATTTGCTAAGAAATCAGTATAATACAAGCATTATTAGTGTAAAAAAAAAAATTCCCTTTTTTTATAATTTTTTGTTACTTGTAGAGATGGTGCGTGATTTGTACTAGTAATGCCGCCTATGTCTCCGTTTCCTGTAATTACTGGCGGTGGCGGTGTTGCTGCGTTATCGTCTTGTACTAGAACTTGTTGCGGTACAACTGGTGCGATGACTGTTCCTTTGCTACTGGCATCCACTAAAGAAAAAGTTGGTTTTATTTTTTTTTGCATACGTGTTCAAAATATTTAATTAAAACATCTACTAAAGATTATTTATACTTGTTAAGCTACAAATACACTTTACGCTAGCCAAAAATACATTTTGCTTCGAGTTCTTTTGTATATGAGGAAATTTGCAAATAATTGATAAGCAAAAATTTCTATAAATGCAATAGCAGTAACACAGAACTAATGGCAAGTGAATACAAAGAATCGTAAAAAAGATACATCCTACTTCCTCCAACTACTCTATGATAATTGTTCACATTTTCTGCACACCACTCAGATCAAAAGCAAACAATAATTTTAAACTAAAAGTTGTTTTCCTTATTGTTTTTTACAATGCACCAAATCCTGTCCCTCTTCCTTTCCTTTGCCAGAAGTGAGAAGAGAAGTGACCACATTTGTGGTTCAATGCGATTATTGGTTTTGCAGAAAGGTTATTTATTCTATGTAGACATTATACATTACTTTTTTAAATTCTTTATTAGAAATTTTAAATACTCATTATGCATTGTGAAGCAAACCTTAGAGTTGGCATAACTTACCTGAATTTGTGGAAGTTAGTTTATTGACTGCTGTTGGCATAGCTAGTGCCACTCCTTTCTTGTGGTGATGATGATGATGGTGATGATGTTTCTTCTTATTTTTAATAATTATTTTGCGCCTGAGAAGCGCGGGTGGTGGCAAATCAACATTGGGTTCAAGCGGATGTGAGTCAAGCGGTTTATCTAGCAACATATCACCAAATATTTCACGGCAGTAATTGGCAATTTTAGCCTAATTTATGGAAAATGAGTTCGAATTATATTACTATTAACAAATAAAAATGATTAAATTATTTAATTCTAATTATAGCAAAATATATATCTACCTACATTATGCTATTAAAGTACATAAATTATTTAACTAATTAATGCCTTACTAAACTCCACGAGTGTAGATTTTTTATTGCAAGATATAAAAAATATATACGAATATTCATGGAAAGAAGGTCTCAGCACAAAAATTGAAATTAACAGGATATTGCTTGCCAACGAGAGCGTTTTAAGTGTTAATGATAGCAACTGATCTTAACCGGTCACTCACTGCTGTTTTTTTTCTTTCTTTAAAGCCAGACTATTGGCACACTGGATTTAAGACATTTGATGCGAGGATAAAAACGCCTCGTCAGTGCAGTGAGACCAGAATATAGCAACTTGTTAGCACCCACTTATCACGATAAAACGCGATTATTTCTTATGCAATAATTTCAACTAAATTAAATTATATCTCTGTTCCTATAAATATCAAAGTGACTAACCCAGACTAACTTCTACTAGCATTCTACCTACATACATACCCCCTTTTAACTCAGATGAAATAACTCCCCTTATATAGTTCCCAAAACGATGCATCTTCTTCCTGTAAGCTATTCATGTTTGCTGCTTTACAGGTATAGGTTGGAACAACAACAATTCGTTCAAGACTTTCTTTACACCAAAGGCTGAAGCGTCTTCCTGGCTTAGTTTTATCTTCATTACATCACACCCTAACAGAGTCAATATTTTATCTCCTCTTTCAGAACAAAGTAACACAGGCAATGATGGTCAACCAGTAAACTGGCGCTACTGAGGAAGTACAACTATTACGGTAGTAACTATTACGGAGATTGAACCAGTACTTCAACCTGTCAACTACTCGTATCTCACTTATATCTTCTTTTGATGACAATAGACTATTTTATGAGACTTAGTTGCCGACCAACTTAATTTGCCCCACAGAAATTATTGAATGATCAAATCGATGCGAAGCTGTCCGCAGTACGGGGTCTTTAATGAAATTAGAGATCTCGTCTACTTTCATTATAACTATGATTTTATAAATATTGTAATAGCAAACTAATTATATGTACCAATTAGGTGTTATATTAGTAATATTTCTACTTAATATCTATTAAATCTACATATAAATTATTTCACTAACAACACAATACTGCTATTTAATAATATAAAAATAAAAACATCTATTTATACAACTACTTGTTAAAGATTAGATGACTAAAATATAAAGGGACGATTAGTATGATATTAGAATATATACCTGCTGCCTGGGATTGCAATGATTTTCAAAACTTAATATCACAGGGTATTCTGATGTCTTAAATGCACTTTCTGCAATTGCTTCGAGCACATCCTTGGCAAAAATTTCAGGAACAAATGTGTAACCATGTACAATTACGGGCTCCTCTGTTCTTCCGTTCCAGAAATCTAATTCCACACATCTATAAAGTATAATTAATATATGAATTTAAATTTAAAGGTGTTCAATTTAAGACAATTGAATTTATTTACCTGCAACCAGCCAGCAGACACTGTCGATATATTTCGACTGAAGATTTGCCTGTAAGTTGGTGGCCTGTTAAATATGTGTTGTGAGATGAATTAATGAAGTAATGCGACATAGGTTGATCCATGTCATCGCAGAAATCTAATTTATTTGGTGCCATTATAGGATTGTCATCGGACATTAAGTACCTAAATAATAAAATATAATCTCACTCTCACTCAGTACTTTATATAATTTTTTAATTTATATTTTCAAATTGTTAGTCTAAAAGTAAGAAATAGGTATCGGGATATTATAATATGGTCGTAAAATATATATTGTAACCGGTATTGATAATTTGAAACCCGCTCGTAAAAGATATCGACACAATTTTTTTCTTTATAATGGTGGTAATGTACTACAATATGTTATCCATGTTATATCATTTGTATTACTCTTCATATTGCTTTTATAATCATACTTTTGAATGTGCTGCGTTTACACAAAGCCGGCTTTATGCAAAAGTTTTTGACAACAACTTAACGTATATTTCTGACATGACTATATGTTTTGTATCCGAGTTTAAAATCATCACTTTCAAAAAACCGGTTTTGAGACGACTACAGACTTAACAGAAAAATAGCTGATAAAGTTGGAAACCCTACCTTAATGAGCCTACATAAAATGTATGAAGAGAGGGCTTAAGTGCTAACATACTTGCATTCCATTCTATGGACCATATGCTATTTAAAAGTGGCAAAATAACTTCGAAGAAATTTATGATTTTTTGATGTGTTAGTTAATAAATCCGAGTACTTAATACACAAAATACGTATAACAGTATACTACATATATTAATTGTAAACCCTTTTAATATGTGGTAGAATAGAATAATAAGGAAATTATTTTTTGCAATGAACGCGTACTCTTATACTCGTGATCTAATAGTCTTTATTGTTACAAAAAATAACAGGAACTTCTTACCAATTTAATTATAATGACTATTTACCTTAAAAATCCATCTAAGCTTAATAAGCCTTTCTGCGTATTAAACTTATTTGGTTCGTATTGTTGTATGATCTCCTTAGCTCTGGCTGTATTCGCATAAGGATACAAAATCTCATTTAGACGTGGATCACGTTGTGTTTTATTTAGGAAGTCCACCAGTTGCGCAGTAGTCATACACTTTCTTTTCGAATTTCCCACACTAAATATCCATTCAAACATGAAGATATGTTAAAGAAAAATTAAGATAATTAATTATAAATAGGTGACATACATGCCATCGAAGATTTTTTCGACTTCAGTGCGTTGTGTTAGGTTTTTATAAAGATTATAAAAATCTTCAAATTGAAATTTGGATGCGGGTAATGTATCAATTTTTCCAGAAGGAAGTCCAGTACTGTCCAGCGCTCTTTCCACCCTTTTGCGATCTTCTTTATTTTGTGTAAACAATTTAATGATACTAAACATTAAGAGAAATGAGAGATAAATAAATTTTAAAAAAATTAATTAATTTATTGATTTATTTGCATATAGTCACTTACTTTTTAACTGGAATCTTATCGCTCTTATCGACTTGCAGAGTGAGTTTGGTGTGTGCCTTCAGCAGGAACATATTGGCTGAGCCATTCAGTTGTGCTAAACTATAAGCAAGTTTCATAATTTCATCGCACCAGTGCTGAGAAAGTTACAAAAGTATTTTAAATATTCACATATTTACATATTTACATATTGAAATACTTAAGAAAATTTAAATAAATGTACGAAAAATAAAAATTAAAAAAATAATAATTGAAAAAGTAATTATGAAATTTTAAGATCAAAGTTAAATGTGACTACCATCAGCAGAACCGTACAGAAACAATATATTCCCTTGGGGCGTATGAGTGATGTTTATTATTTTTCCTCAACAACCATATTTTTTATCTTGTTTGAAACTGGAGTTCTGCATCTTAACAAGGATAAACTCAATTGTGTGTAATGCAATGTTGTGAGTGAAAATGTTTTTCGTATTTAACCAGCAGCAAGAAGATGCAAATACATGCTGAAGAAGTCATATCTTCTTTAACAGAAGCCAATCAGAATTTCTGACGAATTGCAGCAAATAGTTTGCATACAAAACAGAGTAAATAACTACGAAAATCGACTACAGATATTATAGATGTACAGACAAATAGACAGACAGATAGACAGACTGACTGACAGACAGACAGACAGACAGACAGAAGCAAATGTTATTGTCAATGTTAACTTGAAAACAATTTATTTGGCATATTTGATACATTTTGTACTCTACTTACCTGCGCAATTTCTTTTTTTGTGCAACAAAAATTAACAAATGTCATATTAACAAAATCACAACCATGGCAAATAGTAACAGTTTTCTCCTCAAGCGTATCCTGAGAGCCTAAAGTAACAATCTGACGCAGCTTCGCATCCTGAAATTACAAATAATAAAAATTAATTATAAAATTAATATAGCGGTGGTTTATGCGTTTGTTCTAGAAACAGCACAACAAATGCAATTGTGACATATGAATAAACTGCATAAATAAATTGATTATACAACATAAATGGATCTGACTTGAAATAACGCTAGTCAAGTGTACATTGGCTTTGTAAGTTAAGTCAAATCGATCCTAAAATTTAGATTTAACAGGGTTCATTTCCTGACATTAGCAAACCAAATTACTAATAATGGACAATTAAACCAATACTATTATATAATAAGACTACTTATAATAGAAAACGAAACAACTGTAAGATTGGTTCAAAACTTCGCTAAATTAATAATAAACAGTTTTTGAATTTGAAAATTTTCTCATTAAGGGTCATAAAGGGTCAAACTTTTCTTAACAAAAGTTAAATCATGAAATTTATTCCATTGCAGTCAACAATAACCAAACGTAGCTTAACTCAAATTCAATTTATATCCCAGTTCATTATATTGCAGTCAGCTAGGACCGGGTATAGTTTTTCGTATATACTACGCTGTGCAGTCAAGTCTCTCGTAGTCAGCAACGACCGAATATAGCTTAAAATGCATCCAATTTACAAAAATTTTATATTTAAAGTCATTGCGAACGACGGAACTTCTTACTTTTATGATTCCATTTCCATTACATTCAGAAAATGCAATTACATATTCACTTCTGGAGTGTGGAGAACGGGCGTAATTCATTCTTAATTTCCTGAACTACAACCACATCGGTGCAGAAGCACAGATTAGGAAGCAGCCTTACCATATTATATTTACGCTTCACACTAAACTACGACGACTACTATAACCGAAACCTATGAAAACTTTTTAATTCCCTCGAGCAAAATGTTCGAGTTCCACATTTATGTGTACAAAATCCTTCACATTTAAATTAAAAATGTAAAAAAAACTGAAAAAAACTGAAAAAAAAATAAATAACAACAAAAATATTTATGTAAACGAAAATGTAATTTCTGCAAACTGATAACCAAAGAATTATCATTTCTTTAATTATACCCAGATAATCTCCCACACAAAACGTTTGTAAGAGGAATTTTAATTGTATATTAAATACATGCCTTCTTTCGGATTGTGGAATCCTTTTCAATTAAGTGCGTTTCATTTCACATGTGTGAATAATCTTCAAAATAAATTTTCATAATTACAACATTCCCTCATCCCACCTCTTAGGAGCAATAAAAATCACAAGTAGCAGATGGTTGGAAATCGGAATTAATTAATTACTTTAGATAATGCAGGTGAAATTATATTTTCTTTTCACTGAACAACTTAATATTCTGATATAAATAGGTGGGATTAAAATTAAACGCACTCTTTAAAAACCCCCACAAAATATACTTTCCACATATACGGAATGGAGAAAAAGAATCAGGACTTTCAAAAATATTCTGCTGAAATGAATATTTCTGGCTAAGACCATAAATATTGTCTTATGCTCATTAACTACCACAAAATCCCCGCAGATTTTATCGATGCAGTTATTGAATATTTCAAGGTCAACCACTTCCTTGATTAAGGTTTATAAAATTGGATTTTAGCAACGTAAAAGAGATAATCCGATTCTTTATAGCATTAGATTTGAGCATCCCGAAGAAGATCAGCTGAATTCTTCATTCAAGTTCTTAGAATAGAATTTGAGCATCTAAAAAACCTTTCTGCGGTCTAAGCAAAGGATTCTATGCCATTCTTTTAAACGGAAAAAAAATAGAACTCTATTGGGAAAGGCTACCAAGACTATCACAATCTAAAATACTTTTAGTGACTTACAACCTAAAATGCTCAAGAATTGCATAGAACATACAAAGAATAACATAATAATTATTACGAAATTACTAAATAAGAAGGCCCTGCACTACACAGCGACCTAAAAGATCTATTGTACCAATCAGTCGGATTAGAAAAGACTTCTGGGAATGTATATCCCTACGGAAGAGACAATAAGACTCTGTAAAGTAGGTTCTACACTACTTTTTATTGACGCAACAAGGCTTAGAGACCTACTCTAAGCCCAGAAGGGGGCATCTGCGGACCCGACGATCGCAGTGCCATACCCCTAAACAATAATAATAAAATAATAATTATTATTAAGGAAAACTAGTCTTTATTTAAGCCGAAAATTTATTAATTCAAATCATTGTATAGTAGAGTAGAATTAATAAAAAAAATATAGGTATATTTAAGAGAAGGGTATATTTCCATCTCTTTCAACTATTTAATCTTTCTAGAGTGTGACTATATTTTTCAATACTGGACTATTGTTACTTAAACGTTTAGTGTTTGATGTTCATTGTCTAAAGAAATTTAAAATGCAAAATATTTTGCTTTGATGAACCCAAATATGTTAATGTTTAAAATTATTTAAATTTTAACCAAAAAATATAAATAATTCAAATTATTGTTCGGTGTTATTCCGAAAAATACCCAGACATAATAGCATTTTATTACAACATTATTTGATTAGATTTTAAATATTTTTGGCTTTCATGTGCATATCAAAAAAATAAGTTTAATTACCAAAAATAGCGAAAACTTTGCAGAAATGTTATTTAAAATAATTTATTGTTTATTTACAAAAAGAATAAAACGATTCATATCTGAAATGATTATTAAAAATGTTCGTGAGTGGGCCAAAGAAAATTAATTAGCTTATAAAACGTAAAAATAATTATGGAAAATAAACTAATTTCATCGCAACTGTAAACAATAAAAGGGCGAAAAATATGAAAAAAATTCACACTTCGCACCGGATGCAAGAATTCTATAAAATTTAATAAAAAATTTACATTAAAAATTGTCGGTAATTAAAATCTCTCACCCCAGGGAATTAAAAACTTGGTAATAATATGTACAAGTATATATGCAGATGAATGTATATGTGCCTTGGAATTTTAAAAATGAACAACATTGTGGCACAATAATTTTTCGTCCTACGTAAGATGCTTTTCAAACCCCCGCATCCCTCACCCACCTTCTCCCTAATTCAACTACCCTGAAACAACACCTTTCAATATGACAAACGTATAAAGAATATTCGTAGAAGTACTTATAAATATACATTTTTATGAGAAACTCTTAAGAGGAAAATGACTGAGAATGACTGAGAATGACTGAAAAGTCGTGAAAAGACGTGCAAAGACTACAATATTTAAGGAACATACACATCGGACACAGTGACAAGGATAACAATAATTAATTATAAACTAATTGAAAATGTATAAAATTCTTAATAATAAGGATTTTATCATCAGGCGAACAGTGCCTAAAAAATTTACATAGTTAAATGCCAGGCTTAATTCTCTAATATAAAGTAGCACCGCAAAAATTACCTACATTAAGACCGAAAAGTTTTCGGAAATTCTCATTTAAAATTCGCGCGCTGTATATTTTTCGATATTTTAAGTTTATGTAGTTTGGCAGCACTGTCCTTAATTACTATGCCAAAAATGAGCGCGATCTGTCAGACAGTTCGTTTACGGCAGCTGTTGAAACCAGTTCACCTCAGTAGGGCGTTGCGAAAAAAACAATGGAAAAAAATATTGAACAAAGAGTTTGCATCAAATTTTGTGTTTCGAACGAAATTTCGTGTGCAGAATCGTTGCGAATGCTACAAAAGGCTTATGGGGAATCAGTTTTATCGAAAACTCAAGTTTATGAGTGGTACAAAGCCTTCCAGGACGGTCGTACGACCGTCGAAGACATTTCGCAACGCACTACTGAGGTGAACTGGTTTCAACAGCTGCCGTAAACGAACTGTCTGACAGATCGAGCTCATTTTTGGCATAGTAATTAAGGACAGTGCTGCCAAACTACATAAACTTAAAATATCGAAAAATATACAGCGCGCGAATTTTAAATGAGAATTTCCGAAAACTTTTCAGTCTTAATGTATGTAACCTATGTGGTAGGTGCGTGAAGTGATACCGCATTACAGCATTAAGTCAAGAAGGAGCAGCCATGCGGGGTTTCAAAATATTGTTAAAACAGATATAGACTTTACAATTCGTTTTACTACAGCAGTTTTGTATTGTGTATCCGATTTTTATATCGGATATCTGGAATATAAGCAGCGTCAGATTTCGAATAAATGGACTCAAAAATTACCTTAACCTCCAAACTGAAAGTCAAAGATGGTATAGACCTACGATACGTTTAATAACTTACAACTCAATATCACATTGTGGAATTGATTATTTAATTATTTTACACATTAAGCGATTTAAGGCATTCGTTTTTCTTCACGGATTTGTCAAGTCAAGATTTATCTTCGAAACTCAATTCGTAAGTGAATGTTCAGATGAGCGTTACACTTGCGTACAGAATATGTCACTTTATATATTAAATCAATGTCGAGGACGTATTTAATTCCTTGACTTGAAAATTCCTTAATTTTCAGTAATCAAAACAATTAATATATAAACGTTATTTTAATTTTAAAAGAGGGTGAGTCTTAAAGATCGTTATCCACTATAAATACTAGTAGGGCAATTGCAGCTAACTAGCTTCACCAGCTAACTTTGTTTATAGGACAATTCTATCAATTCCTTCCCATTTTCTAATCTTCAATAACCAAATCCAGATTAATGCATGGTATTATCAATAGAGAAATAGGGAAGCACAAAAATTAGAAGTCAATGGAAAACTAAACCCTCACAGTAAATATTGTCCTCTAGTAAATATTTTCAATTCAGTTATTTCAATCAATGATTATGCAAAATAACTGAACTTATATATACCATATCCAAGCTAAGAACATACAAAATATTTTGAAACGAAATAATTTGACCGCTTTACTGCTTCATATCAGTAGTTAGCTAATAATATTCTATTATACAAAAGACCTACATATGCTCATACTAGATTCATTTTCAAACTAGAAACGAATACAGTGTAAGGAATTTAAAAATCTAATACCCAAATATTTACGGGTATTAAAACATAATTCTAACTATAGCCAAGCAATAGCATCAGAAATGTCTTAGTCTATTTATGACGAACAACTCAAGTATGATATAAAGGATTCATGATCCCATATTTTCTCAGTATCTATGACTTTGTAAGAATATAGCCTAAATATATTTGTAACCCAAAATATACACAGCTATACGTAAGAACACAACTAGAGACTACTTAAAACACTAATAAAATTAATAGAACTGAATAGTCTAACTTTTCCAAAATGTTGGTACTTGTAAAAAATAGGCATCAATCTAGTATTTCGATTAAAACGACACTTTTAAGGTAGTCATTATTTTTAAAAACAAACCTTTTTAAATATTATTACAGATATAATTGCGGTCATCGGTTTCTTTAATTAGGAACACTTGAGCTGGACATGACCGCTTCAATAGACCTCATTGAACATTTTATCAATATAACAAAAAGAAATCGCCTATTTATAGTTACATCGATAATATATGTTACCTCAAAATCGTCGAAGTCTACAAGAAATATTTTTTTCTTTTCTACACATCAGACAAGAACGCTGGATAAAAATCTATATTTACGTCTCGTTGCCACCGTTTTGGTAATGATTGTATGTGAAGTTTATTTTGAACACATATTAACCGATAACAAAAGGATTTGACAGAAAGCTCTTTTCATAATTTATCTCTATATATCCCCATTCTTTCGATCTTATCGTTAAGAACTAACGATAATCTTCTATAATATACTAATGTCTATTTGATACACTTTTGTTCATGTGCCCTTTTGACACGTAGGAATATAATAGAATGTTATATTCATCTATATAATAGAAAGTGAAGAAAAATATGCTTTACACTTGCCTTTGGTTTTTTGGCGTATTGACCTGTACGAACGTCTCGTACTGTGGCAATATCCAGTATGTCCATCTCATTGTTCTGATCAATCCAATATAAAAAGAAACCTTTGGAGTCCACACGCATAGTGACTGGTGTGCCAATGCCCGAATCCTGAAATAAATAACAAAATAAAAAATTATTTAATTAATTTAATTTAATTGAAGGAAGAAGTTATTAATAAATAGGAAAATAATTAAAATATAAAATATTTAACAGACTTTATTTCGCGTTTTATTTATTGAATTTGCTTGTTATTTTCTTGGAAGTATAGAAACTATATAAACTTAACTAAACTGAGAATACTGATAAGAAACAGTGTGTATAGTACATATAAAACCTCACAAATTTTAATTATTTTAAAATATTTTTACTAATCAGCTGAATTCTTCAAATAATGGCTCTACGAATAGAATAGTTTTGAGATTTAACAATTAAAAATAAAAAAAAAAAATATAATTAATTAATTAATTCAATTATTCTACAGCTGGTTTATGATTTCGTTCTAATATATAAATACAGCAAGTAAAATTGTTAATAAAAACTTTTATAGCAAAAGTAACAAAACTCCAACAAAAATATGCGAACATAAAAAGTCAAGTACGGCTTTGGATCAGTTGGTTAAGGTGCGCTGATTCTGAGCTTCACATTTACCAGGACCCGAGTTCGATTCCTGGTACTTGCAGTCTCAAAAATAATTATTTACGAATAATTAAATATAAGAATTATTTCCAAGACCACTGATGAAGGGTATTTGGCAATACTCGAAACAGCTGTATGGTCAGCCAAAAATTCAATTAATTAAAATAATTTAAAAAAAAAAAATAAATTTTTGTTGTTGTTTCACTTCTGTTCGAAAACCTTTTTATATTAATTGTTAATAAAAATTAGATTGATGATTTATTTATTTAAATTATGATTTATAATGAATTATTTTAAATTATTTTTTAAGTTAAAATTTTCATTAGGCTACTCTGGTCTTATTATTAGGATGCAAATAAAATTCAATTTATTTCATTTTTTCACCCGACGTTTCGTTGGTTATTTTCCAACATCTTCAGGGGTATCTAAATTAAATTATTTAATTTAAATTCTTAATTTAAATTATTTAATTTAAATTATTTTATTTCGTCTTTATCTTTCGTGTATTTTGTTAGCTACCACTGTGAATTTATTTATCTATATAAATAGAGAACCTAAGATGAGCATTGACTGCTTGCATGAACGAGTTAATGAGATTGTCTCGTATTTGATATAAATTGCGATAATAAGTTCAATTTACATTAATTTCGAAATTAAGTTTAAATATATAAATCGAATAAATATTGAAGTGAATAACAATTTGATTGAATCCCAAAGACTAATAAGAGTTCCAATCGATATTTAAAAAATATGTTTCAAAAAACGTTTCAATCGCTGTGTTGATTATATATGAGACTATTTTGATTAAACAATAATCAAATCAATAATGAATAATAATCAATAATTAATGGTTTGTATTTTTTTTAAACTAGTCTCTAAAAACTAGTCCTTAAACTAGTCCATATATATGCTTCTAAGATTTTTTCTTGTTGTTGTTATTGTATATAAAGAATTTTTTCAAATAAGTGCTCTTTAACTATTTGTAGAATTAAAATTCTTTAACTTTAAGTTTACTTCAAAAATTTTTACATAAAAATCATTTAACAAAAATCAAATGTATGTAAAATATTATAAGAGCACCTCTAATATATTTATTTTATTAAATGCCAAACATTTTCTGCAAAAGCTCTCAATATTAAAATATTTCTAATAAATGTAAAACAATTGCAAGTTAAAAATTCATACAAACATAAACCAAAATCTACAAATATGTTATAAGTATATTTTAATAAGAATGTACTAGAAATTTTTATGATAAACCAGCAAATCATATCATGGACCTTATATTGCATTCAAGTTATAGTGAATCTTGTGTTGTGTATTATCAAAAAAAAGTATTCAAATATATTTGAAATATTTTACAAATTCTTTTTACTTATAAGAGAATAGCCGTACTTTCAATAGAGAATACCTAGTATTTTTTTTTTTTTGTACTTTTTTATTTTCACTTAAGTTTGGAAATTAATATCAAAAATTTTTTTATACAATTCTTTAATAATATAAAATATTTTCCTGTTTATTATGCTACTAAGCCTGTGTCATTATTTTCAGTGCAAACAAAATTTTCTTTATTACTGCCAACTAAGGAAACTTTAATTTCCTGTTATTAACGCCTTCTTTCCGTTTGCAGTCTGTGCAGAAAGTTTCCTAATTCCCAAAATTGCATAATGCTCGTATATATTCTTTGATAGCAACTGTCCAGAGTACTCGTAAAGTGAACATTACTTTAGTTTCTTCTGTGTAGTAGAAGTAAATAGAAAGTAAACTATACATCCAACAGAGAGGAGACCGATGTTATATAGCATGCAGTAAAAGTACTTGCAAGAGTATTTTAACAAAACTAAGTACGTCACAGCTACACTATATTGACAATTATAACACCCACGTTTGTAGTGATACCTACACCCACAGCCATAAACTTTGTATCGAAGTGGGAGAGCAAATACGAGTACCAGGGAAGAAACGTAAATTTCACATTATCATGCTTTCCGTGCTTATCTCTGTATTGTCAAATATAAACAATAATTTATATTCCTCTTTGTATGTACTGCTGATGGTATTTTGTGTTGTTGAGCAATGATACACGGAGTGTGCAGTATCCTAATGGCAACATCAAGAGCAGCAGTAACGATAGCGACTTGGCAATGGCAGTGACTGCTGTGGCAATGTTAATGCTAATGCTAATACTAATGTTACTGTTGTCGTTGCCGTTGCCGTTGCTGTTACTTGTGTGAAATGTTGTTGCGCATTTCTTTGTCCTGTTAATGGCCGCAAGTAATCAATTCTCAAAAAAATTTTGCTTTGTACATGTACTAAGTTTAAGAAAATGAAATTAACCAACAAAAAAAAATAGGCTATACATATATTCAATTAGATTAAAATTGTTTCATATTGTTTATTAAAATTTTTTTTTAATTAAAATGTTTTTTAAAACTTTTTGGACGCCGATTTTTGTTTCTTTAAATTTTATACTTAAAAATTTTTGTCGCATATGTATTTTATATGTGAAATTTAATTTTTAAAAATAAAAATAAGAATAGTTAAAAGAAAAAAAAATCATATTATATGAAAATATGAAGAAATTAAGCAGAAACGAAGACATGTCCACTGGCAAAATGCATAAATTATGGCGCAACTGCTGTTGCAGTTATAACGCCTACGGTGTTTCAGTGTTTCAACGTTCCACAGTTTCAGCTGCTTAAAATTATGCTAAAAAATTTAAAACTTAAAAATTGTTTTAATTTTTTTTTTGTATTGTTTTATGACTTTCATTTATCTATTATACTGGTACATATTGCAACACAAAGCAAGCGAAAAGCAAAAAAAAATTTACTTCTTTGACTGCAACATTTGTTGTTGGTTGGTTGCCCGTTTTGGTCTCACTGCGTTAGCTGGAAACTGCATTCTGTCAATGCTGATTATCTCACCATCGCCTACTCTGCGTCATTTTCTTGTTAAAATTGTTATTCGCGGTTAAGGTTATTTCATTGCCATAAAGTATATGCATTATTAAATACTGACGTAAATTTAAATGTTTTAAAATGAGTTTTTAAGTCATAATGCAAATATTGTGTACTGGGATGAAAAATTAAAATACTTATTTTTTGTAGCATACTTTGTGGCGAATTGGATTGAAAATCTTTACTAGCATTTTGTTCTTTTGGATTTTTTGAAAAAATTTAATTAAAATTGTACTATGGTGCTATATATACTTTTTACTATATACATGAAAATTTAATATTTTTAATTTTTATTATAATATGTAAAGTTAAAAATATATGAAGAGTATTAATTTAAAAATTCTTGGTAATTTATTAAATTACCAAGAATTTTTAACATAACATAAAATAGAGTCATTTTCGGTAAATAACAGTCACTAGACTAGAGAGCAATTGTGCATACTAGCCTAAGAGAACTGTAAAGCCATAAAAGAGATTTAATTTGCTCATTTGAAATATGACATCTGAATAGCAGGTTGTCAAATATTTTATGTTTAATGATGTGATATATGCATATATACATTTTGTATATATTTATGATAAATAACTCTTATGAAACCTGAGTTTGTTGCTACTTTGTTTCGAATAAATGTAGCTCAAAATTTTATGAATTGTTAAACTACATTTTGTTGCAACGGTTCATGGAACAGTTTTTATAAAACGATAGGTATATATATACATAAATATATATTTCTTTCTGCTACATTTGTATCTCCTATAAATATGCAACAAAATTGCAATTGAACTTAAAACTTACTGTTGAATATTTCTTGCCCTTACGGTTATGCAATATATAATAAATTAGAGGAGGAGGAAAAAATTTTATTATTATATATTTATTATTTGTTATTATATTTTACCGTACTTAAGCAGCTTATTCAATTTTTTATTCATGTGGTGTTTATAAATTCAAAACTTAAATGCAAAATGTGTTTTTAACTTATGCATATTAAATCTAAAGTAAAACTAGAAAACTGAATATCTGTTCAGTATTTTAAAATTTTCTTGTAAAGTCTAAAAATATTATCCTTAAATATTCAAATACGTAATTAATGTACACAATGTCAAACCTTACTCAAGTAGTCAAAATATTTTCACAACCGCAGTAATACTTTATGTATAGTGCTCACTCTGTCAGAAGCTCACCTAACGTCAGCTAACTTTAAGCAATGTCACCTAGCGAACTTGAGCAATTCTATGCTAAAATTTTAGACTAAGCCATTCCTTGTTACATTCATTGTGGTCCACAAATAGACCACATTTAATATTCAAATTTTCATTTGCAAAATTTGCAACACATTTTCCTCAACCAACATTTTTTTAGTTGCTTTGAAATTTTTTGCCACTTGCTCCAAATTAAGAGCACATTTAAGGCATTTTCAAATTATTACGACCAATTTAAAATATTTTTAACTGCAAAACCTCAATTAAAAAACTTTTTTTCCTTCAACTGTCACATAAAATTTAGTTTGT